TCCCCAATATTTAAGACTGTATGGGGTCATGCCAGACTGATGCAAAATTATTCTATAAGAGGTTCAAGTATTGTTATTTTGTCACTGCTTTGTCAGGAGGCTCAGGTGGAACACCTCCAGCACAAAGGTCTCTTCTGATTTATGGTGGAAGCAGTCACTGAGATGATAAATATAGCCCAGATGAGATGTTTATGATGGGGGCATGAGAATTAATGCAGAAGAATATGGGTAACCTCTATAAGGGGTCCTGGTGTTGGCAGAGATCATAAGATTCACAATCTACTCATGCAGTGCAGCAGCTCAACTTACTGGGGTCCTCTAGGAGAGTCAGGATGGAAGCTCCTGTGACAGAGGAAGTAGACACTGAAATTAAAATTGATGCTAAGGTATAGATGATATTTAATTTTTTTAAAAAAATTGTCTTCTATTATTTAAGAATGACCAAAGGCTAATGGTGGGATTGGGGAAGAAACAAGAATTGCAGGTGCCTTCACATCCTATGATGTTTCTATATAGGGTGCAAAGTTTGAATTATTCAAGGTTATTTCATAATCATTTATGTTAATTACAATATACTTAAATATTTAAATTGAACATTTATATTGTTAAAATATTCAGAATAAAGTTTTCATTTAAATGGGATTTCTTGTCTGATTTTTCTCAAAACACGTAGAAGCAATGTGTTTGGACGGTGAATTGAATTCTTGGCCCTAAATTCCCCAATCTGTCTTTGACCATACTGCATACCAGATTTTGAAAGAACTGCATACAGAATGAAGCAGTGTGCAACTTCTTTATGGCATAATGCCTTCTTTTTCAGTTATGCAGGGCAAAAAAATCACATTTTCTTTGGAAATCATAAATGTAAAAAAGGATTGAGGAATCTCCAACAAGGCTGCAAAACAATTGTTTGCCTCCTTCCTATGGAGTTTTGTATGCCCTCAACATTTAAAAGAATAAAGTAGGGAGAAAAATTACATACAGAATGAAATAAATGTTTGAAGAAGTCTTAATGTAAGCATCTTTTTGCTTATTGAATGGCATCAGCACCTTTCTGAAATGGGAATAATAAAATTGAAACAGAGATTGTCACTTAAACCGAACCAGTTATCATTCCTGACTATACCTCTGAATGACATGAAAAAAAGTGCCCCTCAGTAGTGATATGTATTTTACCATAGAACTACTCATGCACTTCCTTTCAACTGTTTGACATTTAATGTACCACAAAAGGTGTGCTCTCCTAAACATCAAGTTACCTGAAGCCTCCTTATATTTATCAGTGTATGTAAACAAACATCTCATTGGTAAAGTTTTTTAAAACACACATCTTTGCCTTTTCAGAGTATAGTTATCAACAACAATTCCAATGTGAATTTTAAAAATTACCACAAAATGTGCCATTTCTTAAAAGTACTTTTATTAGAATAGTGTATGTGAAGTTTGTTGAAAAATTTGAAAGCTGGAGCCTCAGTTTTTTAAGGACTTTAAATTCCAGCATGTAAGATTGGGGGCAATGAGGGAATAAGCCCTGCTGGGTTTGGCCAACTAAGCCCCTTTTCACTGCCACCTGGTATGCTGCTGGCCTGATGAAACACTTAATAAAGCCACTTGGATATAACATTTACTCAGGTGAATTTTCCAATATAGGTTTGAATTGATAGCACATTTGGTGCAGAGAAGTATACGAAGGCAAACAATGCAAAACTTCCCAGCATAAATCACATTATATAATCCTATAGGGAAGTGGCTAGAAAGGAAGATTAAGGAGGAGAAAAAGCATAAAAATTCTGACCAAGGAAAAGGGCTCCTACTTCTATTTCTTAAATGGATATTGTAGAATCAAAGCAAGCTATTAACATACATTTAAATATATTTATTTTTATTTGTTTTCAGAGAGGAAAGAAATTGTTAGAAAATGGTGTGAGAGAATCATGGGTTGGCTGTCTCCTAAAAGACACTTACTGGGCTTAGAGCCCACAACCTGGGCATTGAACCCTGACCTCCTGGTTTACAGGTCAAAACTGAAATCCTGAGCCAAGTGGACTAGGATTTGGCTTTTTTATTCAGAGTTTTCCCTTTGTCATCTGTGTCCCCCAGTTTTACTAAATCCAACCTGCCTGACTACAATGCAGATTGGTGCAATCTGGGATTCATTAAATAGTAAGCAACCAACTATTGTGCCTTACTCTCCCTGCTTGCTTTCTTATGGCCTGGAGACCCCCATCCATACAGCCTTCATGTACAGGCTCCCTGTGCACCAGCAGTCACTACCTACACAGGGCCCTTGTGTACCCATCTTCACAGATGATGTCTCTATATAAACATGCACTTTCTAAGCCTCCTTGCCCTGATACTATGTCTTTTTGTGCATTTTGATGGAAAATTTCATCAAAATAAATAATTTTGCTGGATTAATCAGTTGTGATCTCGAGAACAAATGAAGTGTCAACTGCAAGAGACCTGTTGAGAGACAACATGCAGCAATGAGTTTTTATTTGTTTCATCTTGTTTTTGGTGTGTTTTTAAATTCATACTTTAGAGATAGAGGAATGGAGAGAAACGGACAGAGAAGCATGCATTCATGTGAGCCAGAAATATTAAAGGTTTCCTGGGGACCGGACCTGCCACCTGGACATGTGCCCTGACCAGGAGTCAAACAGGTGCCCTTTGTCATTCACAGGACAATGCTTAGCCCTGCTGGCCAGGGTCACAAACTTTCACTTTTCTTCCTTAACTTGGCTAATAATCACTATAAGTGGCTCATAATCACTATTATGGGCCCAGCACGCTTCCGCTGCGCGACTCTGCTAGGATTCATAATCACTATTAATGCTAATAACAGTGAACAAGTCCAGAACAGGACTTGTTGACAAGTGCTTTACATAAGTTAGCCCCACAGGTGAATCTCACCACAATGAAATGGGGCATGGTCTATATGTGTGGTGAGGAACCAACACCCAGATCATGAGATGTGTAGCCCATGCCCTTCCTCCCCCCAAACCTGCCCATTTTTATACATTTCCTCAAATTGCAGAGATTTTGATGCCAGTATGGACACTGTTCCCTGTCAAGTGGGGATAGTATGACAAGGTGCAAGCAGAGAGAATATTTGATTAAGAGATAATCTTGTTCTCTAATCCTCTTTCATGGGGTTTGGGAAACTGTCCATTACATATATCTCAGCATTTTTTCTCCTTTATAGAGGTAGTATATAGTGCCTTGCCATTGTGGCTTACTAGACCTATACTCCAAGAGTAGATAGTTCAATTCTCAGTTGGGGCAGGCCCCCAAGTTTAGGCCTTGATCCCAGGGGACATGCAGAAGACAGCCAACTAATGATTGTGTCTCATTATTGCAGTTTCTATCCATCTCTCCCTCTCACTTTCTCTCTGAAATTTTTAAGAACTGTACTTAAGAAGTGGTAATATATGCTATGAAGCTGATGGGCCCAAACTAGAAGAGTGAAAGGAAGAAGAAAATAAAGAATGGCAATAAAAAGAAAGAAGGGCCAGGTGCTGTGTATGGCAAGCTGCGAAGCTGCTGATACCCAGCAGAGAGCAGCAAGCACATGAGTTGCTGGCACTGAGTGAGAAACAGAAATAGCACATTAAGGAAGATGAGAGGAACACGTGGAGCCCTGCCCCTGGGCCTGGGTGTGTGGCCTTCTCCCCAGGTGCTCCTATGGCTGAGTGCTCAGTGAGCCAAATGAGACAGCCCAGGGCCAGAATGCAGTGGCATGTGGGCAGAGCACCTGTTTCTTGCTGGGCAGCTGACTGTCCTTTAACCATGGGAATACAACCCCACAGTATGACTTGTTCCTTTCACTTGGTTGAATTGCCTCCCAGGGTGGCCCTCCAAACTCCCAACTCCCCAGAGTGACCTTCAACTGTGTCCACTTAAGTGCTCTCCCAGAACTGGCTTGGTGTAGGCCAGTCGTCAACCACAAAACTCAAGGCCTGTAACTGCTCAGAGTTGGTTTACCACAGCCTTGACTGATAGAAATGAAGATCATGTGGAGAGAGTTTTCTCACATTATGACCTAGCCTCCCCAAAGGGTTTAATATTAGTAAGGGACCCAGATTTTAAGCAAAGATTTATGCCAGCTTAGCATTTTGGTGAAAACAATGTAACTGTGTTTACTGGCCACAAGTATTGGAATTCAAGCAGGGGCTGGATCCAGGGGGATTACAGGTTTGGATTTGGAAGTTCAGGCCTCTGACTAGCTGATAGGATGATATCCCTTTCAGTACGGGGGACCTGACTTGTGCACAGGGAAGCTCTCCCATGGAGTGACCACAGGCCAGTGATGGAGGCTCCCAGTGGGGAGGAGTGTTTTAATCCATGGCCACTAGGAAGTTGTAGTTCAGTGGTGCTAATGGGAGGCCACTTGTTCCAGTCCATGTGGATGCACCTTCTGTGGGCTGATCCTCTGAACAGTCACAGAGCTAAGGGAAGAGGTCCTTGTGCCCCAGAAGAACCACCAAACCAAAAAGGATAAGTCGCAATGGAGCTGCTGGAACCAACCTCACCACACTAGTGTCTGTGGATCACAGATGCTCATGCCCTCTTATTGGACCAGCAACTGCAGATGGCAGAATTGGGTTAACATATCATAGGGGACTCCAAACGGTTCATATTCGGTTTTCTTTATTACTGACATTTATTCACAACCATTCAAACCAAGGTAATCTTGCTTCTACCAAGCCTGAATTCCACCTCCCTAGAGATTCAGGTGCACATCTAACTCTTTAGGACCCATCTCCCCAAAGAAAACATCTGCCTCCAGTCCTCATCTTCCCCCACCACTGAGTAGTTGTGAGAAAATGGCTGCTGGATTCCTTTAAGATTCACTTAGGTCTGGGCTTCAGTGTCCAAAGGCCCAGAGTAAAGTCTATGAGATGTGCACCCAGCTAGACACGTATGTAACAGGGTCACAGAATGGGGTTTGGATTATAGAAAGTTCGATAGACACAATGAGTACGGGGGTAAGCACAGAACTAGAACATGCCTGGGTGCCCCAACTCCTGCAGCATATGCTTCAGCCCCGCATGCACCTGGGCAAGTAGGCCCAGGTCGATGATGTTGTTGCTCTTTTCCTCGTAACTCTCCAGGGGGGCAGGATACAGCATACAATTCAGCTTACTCAGCCTGATTGTGTGGCGAAGCAGGTCCTTCTGGACGGTCATGGAGATGGTGTTTTCACAGAAGCTTAGGGTCATGAGCTGAGAGCAGTGGCTCAGGGCAGGCAGGAGATCCTTTAACTGGGAGTCCATGATCCCACAGTCATCCAAGTACAAGTCCTGCAAGGTGGGGGAGGCTCTCTCTAACAGCAATTGGAGGGGCCCAGAACGAATGTTGGTCAGGTTGAGCCTCCATAAATTCAGGACTTTAAGCTGGCTGACATTCAGATGCTGGGAGAGATATCTCAAGTCACTTTCTAAGAGCATGCAGCTAGTGATGGACAGAGTCTCCAAGGGGGTCTTCAGGCAGCTGAGGAGACACAGAGCAGTTAATTGAGGAGTGTTGGAATGACTAAACCAAGGGAAGCGAGCATGAGACGGGATTTAGGGTAAAGAGGCCCATGTCACTTTAGCCTAAGGTCTTCCAGATGATGATCAAACCCAGGACCTTGCACAGTGAAAAGTGATTCGGTCAGTGCAAAATTGACTGGAATCCTTTCTCCATCTCCTACCTGATCTGCAAGGGATTCAACTCCATGAAACATCACACCCTTCATTTGTTAATCTTTCACCATACACCCAACCTCAGACACACAGGTGTTGTGAGCATCAATGATGGGAGGTAGAGATGAGAGGAGCTCAGCAAGGAGCTCAAGCAGTAGCCAACCAGTGAAATTTAGTTTTGGAGACAAGAACCAACATGCCATCCATTTGGGCTCCCTATCAGCCACAGCCTGGACTCCTGTAACTCTCATCTCTTAGCACATGAGGCAACTCGCATAGTTGCAGAAAAGGCTAATCTGGACAAGGTTGGGTATCATCCAGCTGGAGCTGCCATCCAGCAGGAACTTGGATCACTGCATCTTCTACAAACTACCTATCCCTTTTCATGAGTCCCCCCTCCAGAATCCTGCATTCACGAGAAATTCCTTAGCAGGAGCCTTTGGCAAGCCTTGGCAAACAGGTGATTAGAAGCAGGTTTGGATTTGAAAGGCTGCCATCACCAAGTCGATAAATATGAATCTAAATCCCTGAAAACTCACTTCTTATGGGCTTTCCTCTCCTCACTACCATCCTTATGATTCCATTGCATAATCTTCCCTTACATACCACCTAGGATTCCCAAGCTCCCATTACCTCACCCAAAGCCCCCATTACTTCCATTCCCTGTAAGGAGTATCTTTTGTAGCATCTTTCTTAGTTCATAAATCCTACCTTTGTATGTGGTAGGGGGGAAGTTACTTGACAACATGCAAGGGGACTGAGCAATGAACAAGACACTGACTGTGTGGACCCTCTAGTGACTCAGGCTCTGTAGCACTGCTAATGAATAGCACATAGAAGGTCCTGTCACTGTGGAATGAAATGAGAAGGGGCTTGCTCTGGTCTGCAGAGAAACCTCGCCATCCCTCACCTGAGGATCTGGTCCATGCGGCCTTTGAGGATGGAGACATCATGCAAATACAGCTCCTGGAGACAGGAAAGCCTGCGGAACTGAGAGGTGAACAGGCTAACACAATGCTCCTCCTGCTCCAAGGTGGTGTGAGAAGACATAAAGACATGGGAGAGGAGGAACCGACGCAGATTGCCCATCTGGCCCAGGAAAGGAGTGAACTTCCTCAGAGTGGACAGCTTCCAGGTACAATTTAACTTCAAATTCTGGACAGAGTTAAGCTGCACCATACCCAGGATGTTAATGTTTTCCTTTGACATAGCATTAACCTTCAGCTTCTTACAGCAAAGGTGCAGCAAACCTCTCCTCTGGCTGACTTTCTTAATAAGGTAACTGAGGGATTCATCAAGGATACCTATGTTGAGGCAAATGTCTACTAACATCTCCATGGGGGCCAGAGGTGGCTTTGGCAATCATTCTTAAGCTGTCCAGTTTCCCCGTCCTCCTCATCGGCTGTGAGGCCTCAGGATCCAGCAGTGAACACACATCAGCTCTGGTTCCGGCCCACACGATCCAGAACTCCTGATGTGTTCCCTTCTGCACATTCAGCACCTGCATTTTCCACTGTCTGTGGAGAAAATAGGAGGTAGACAGGGGTACATTAAGATATCAGGAATTAAGACCATGGCCATGAATCTGGGAATCTTGACAGCTGGGCCAGACACCCGATGGGACTTTTACTCCTTATCCCAGAAATCAGATGCTCCTTACACTGCTGGGGCCCTTTGTGTTCCCCACTTCTGGTACTTTCAGTGCCACCAGGAAGGGCATTTCATAACCTTCCTGTCACCCTCTCATCTTCATCAGCCCTATATATCTGAAGCCTGTTCCCAGAATGACCCCAGCAGTGGCTCCAAGGCCTCCCTGAGCTCTCCCTGTGGCCCTATACAATTCTATATCCCAGCTGTAACAGCTCAGACCCCCAGGGCCCAACCAGGCCACTGAATCCCCCTCACTTGGGTCGAGTCTCCTGGGAAATCAGGGCATCTAGCCCATTGAGCACAGCCTACAAGATATCATGGTAAGGCTGTTGATGGTTCAACAAGGCCCCCAGAAGGAGGCAGGGAAGGGCCAAGCCTGTACCAGAAACTTCAGGAAATTGCTATGCCTCCCAGCCAAGGCTGCTGTGAACAGAGGTGGGAAGAGCTCCATAGGCAGCCACTCCACTGCAGCAATGGCCGAGGCTTCATCCCTCAGCAGGCTCTGGCATGCCGGGTCCAGGAGTCTGAGTGGAGCCGTGATGAAGTGGCTCTGAAAGAAATCCTGAGAAATTGTCAGGAGTAAGGCATCATGTCAGGCTAAGAGGAACAACCCCATTCCTCTCCCTTCAGAGGAACGACCTGAGGGCCAAAGGCACTGCTCTGGCAACAACTGGAGCGTCCCAACTTCCCGCAATCCCATCGTCTGTTTAACAGCCACAAATCCACTCAGCCCTGCCTCTCCTAGGCTGGTGGCAGGATATATACCTCATCAGGCACCAAGGAGTGGTGAGATGACCACTGCACACCTCCCATATCTACTCACTGCCTACCTGTAATTCTGCTGTGCAGTGAGTACTGGGAAACCAGAGAGATGGTCCCACACTTTTCAGAGAAAACTTTCTTATTATTGCTGAAGGACTGAAAGCCCCTGGAGTAGGCAGCAGCCCCTGGTCCATCACATCTCTTGCTAAGCTACAACAAATTAAATGGATGGGAACGATTAAAGAACAGCCACACAACGCATACCTTGTGTCTTCTGATATATTCTAAAAGAGTAAAAGCAGAACAAAAGTTTTCATAGCATGGGGGAGCTAGAGATGAGAAAAATAACCATTAATTTGAGATGTACATTTATTGTGTGTCCCTTCTATGAATATTAGAATGACCACTTTATCCAAGAAAACAGAGGGCTGACATGCCGCAACTAAGCATCCTCTCAAAAGAGACTGCAAGCCCTAGTTAGTGTTGCTCAGTTGGTTGGGCATTTCCCCTTGCACCCGAAGCTCATTTGCAGGTTCCATTCCAAACTCCAGTACAGATTAGGCAGGAGCCAGTTGATGAATGATTTTCTAATCAATGTTTCTCTCTCTCTTTCTCCCTTCCTCTTTTTCCAAACATCACATGCTTTTATTAAAGAACTCCCTTAAGACATGTTGTTAGACACATAGCCTGGCCTCCAATAAATCCAAAAGGGATATGCCCACATTGGTTTGCAATAGGTTCCTTGGGAATACTTTACTTTCAGACACTATGGAAACTTGCCCTGAAAACCTATATGAATTGCTCACATCAAAACAGAAATAAAAACCTTTTGGATTAAGTCTAACCTGCAACTACTGGCAAAGACAACGTCAGTTCATTTATGAGGAAATAAACCACAATTATTTGTGGGACCTGGGGAACCACCATAGGCTTATGATTCACAAGAGCCCTCTGCTCCAACCTGGGCAGTGTCACACATGCTCTTTCCTCTGATCCCTCAGCCTCCTAAGAAACCATTATACTTCATCTGGCCACACCTTCCTGTTGACATCCTAGCTGAAATGGCAACTTCCAACTGAATGCTGAATATTAGTTCTTGTTCTCCAGGCAGTTTACCTGATTGGGTTTTGCACTCTGCACACCTCCAATTGAATCTTAGGTCCTTTCATAATAGGAAAAGAAAATGAAACCAACCTGCCAGAGACTTACTAGGTTCTTGATAACACATAAAAATTCCCTAGTATTCCTGGTAATATACCATTAGGCAGACAAGGTATCCTCTCAAGAGAAAAAAGGAATACAATGCAAAAGCATTGAGTACCAAACAGTCCCTGACACTTGATGTTATCCCAACTGCAAGCTCATGCCTACTCAAAGAGTAACAGAGGGACAGTTGTTGTTCCAGATTTTGAGGATCAAGCCTTACCCAAAGGAGGAAGGGCCAAAATCACATCTAAGGATTGTTCAGGAGAAGGGAGAGGTGCAAATTTGCAATGGAACCAAGAAAGTGAGCCAAAACGAAGTGCACTCTTGGGAAACTCACAGGCTCTGACTTGGTAAACTAAAGAACTTAAAAGGCTGGTGGTTAAGAAGAAAATGGGTGGATCCCTTAAACCCAAGCTGATGGGACTACAGGCAGGAGGTTCAATCACCCCCCCCCTCTGTGGAGGTAAAGGCCATTTCCTCCAGAAGAACCAGATGAGCTCAGCAAACTGGCTTGAGGAAATTAAATGTAAAAATATAGGCTATGCAGAGGCCAGTGGAGAGGTGTTTAGTGGAACCTGGGAAATGACTTACCCAGTTACAAAAGCCTTTGAGAGGCTAGAATCGTGTGCTCTTTTGAATCTTGGAGGCACAGAGAAAAATAAACCTGGGCCAAAAGCCCTAAGTATCCTTATCAAGGAGCTGCTACCAGAGGGCATTCTCTTTAGCTCAGGCCTCCTATTTCACAAACTGATCTTCCACAGGAAGCAGATTAGGTCCAGGCAATTTCCAGGATTCTGAACTAAACATAACTGACAAAGAATGTATATGATTCTTTCGCAGTTATGTTTGCTCAACCCCAGGGAACAACACATGCTATTTGGCTTCAAAAAGTTCCTTCTAGGCCTAAAACTGTCATTCAGATTGTGAGGGAAGAGGATTAAGCAGAGTGCAGAGATACACTTTCTTCTTCAAAGATTTGAAAGTGTACTAGTATTTGGCATATTTGGTAAATCTATGCGATATTATAGGATGCCCCATAGTGCACTGAGTCACAAATTGGATCTTTTGAAATTGAGACTTGAGAGAGAGAGAGAGAGAGAGAGAGAGAGAGAGAGAGAGAGAGAGAGAGAGAGAGATGATAGCGAGAGAGACCACATTTCTGCAGGGTCTTCTTTACCTCCTGCAACGTGATGCCTAAACAACTCTCTTATTCCAGGGAGAGAGACCATGTGACTTTACCACAGTGGTGTTCACCAGAAATAACAGAATGGTTGAATAGATTTCTTGAAGCGTTTCAAATTGTAATGAGTTCAGGAAGTTAATCTAGACTTGTTCCTGGGCTTTTAGTAGGAGTGGTGCCACATAGGGGGATGCATTCTGTTTAACACTTTGAGTACTTGCACTAGAAAGTACCTGGAAAATTATAGAAGCCCAAGCTCAAACAGCTTCTATGAGATCCCAACGTCCAGAAGTTACAAAAAGGCAGGACGAACCACTTAGAATGACCAGGAAACAAAGTCTGAGCTGAACTTGTCTTCTTCAAGAGCAAGAACCTCTCCTCTTCCCATGCAGATCCTGCTTTCCCGGGGAATGAGCTGGAGCACTGGATGCAGGAGCACATCTGCATAAAGAGCTGTCCTTCCTGCGCAGTATAGGAGAGGACCTGCCAACTCCCAGCACCCACATATGGATCTGGGGATGTTTTTACCACATCCTGGACCCCTTCCTCCTGCCCTCATCATGGCTCTCACTTATGTACAGGCCACAGCAGCCTTTGAGAACATGATTCCTACTGGGATCCCAAGGCATCTGTCCTTCCAACATTTTGTTTTTTGTTTTGTTTTTGAGTGAGAGAGTGGTACTTAGATTGTGCTCAGAAGGCTGGGAACCCTCGTTATGCATCCCTGGGATGTCAGACAAGCTCTCATGAGCCTGATGCTGGGAAACCCTCTGCAGACAGAAATCAGATTTCCCCAATTCATCTGGGCTCTTTTTGAGAATATGATTTGCTACAGTGTAGAGAAGGAAAGGCAACATACCAGCTGCTCTCCTTGATCCAGTGAGGTAACAGAGAGGTAGTAGTATTCCTTTCCTGGTTTCCTGTGTCTGTGGGCCTTCAGAGCCCCAGTGGATCAGTCCCCATGCATGGGCTTTCCCACATTCATCTCTTATCCAGCCTTTAAGCAGACAAGCTTCCATCTGGTGTCTTTCCCTTTGAAGTCAGACCTCTTCTTACCCTGACTTATATTGTCCTCTGCCTTTTGGAAACTCAAAAGTCTCCGCTTGCCCTACCTGCCCTGCCTCTGCCCAACAAGGCCTGGTTTCACCTCAGACCCAGTGACATCTAAACAATAGACTGTCCCTCTTTCTTTCTCCCCAAGGAGGGCTTGAGAAAATTAAATGTAAAAATGTGGCCTGTGCAGAAGCTAGATGAGAGTTGCCGAAGCAAATTCTGGGACATGACTTATCCA